TTTTTCCAGTAGAAGGTAGAATATGGGCATATAATCTATTTGACTTTGGATGAGGGACCTATAAGCACCTTTCCAGTTTCCCAATTCTGTACCATACTACTGTAAGACAAAGGTAACAGAACATAAATTTCTGGGAGGGACTAATTTCTAACAAGCTAGGTATGACCTAAACAAATCCAGTTTTGTTTGTTAGGCATTGATTTACCTCTCTAGAGTTCCAAGAGGTTAAACCTATGCATGTACAACTCCATATGCAACTATGCATTGAGATTAGAACTAATTAATATTAAGTGGAAATGGTATCACAGAGAGCAGTCCTGGGGTATGGTCCACTATTGGAATCAAAGGGAAAATTGGGCTGTTTTGGCCAAGGGAGAAGCCAGAACACTGATGTTTAGCCATTCTCAGTTTTTCTCTCTGCTCATTTTCTCTGTGAACTTCTTAAACTCTTGTAGTTTTGTGTAGGCTGGTTTTTGTTATTACCTTCCATCCTCAGAGCTGGCTGCATTTCTTTGCTGAAAGATGTGACCCCTCTCTGCTAATTAGTGAAGTTCCCTTAATGACTGTAAATCACTTCAAGATTTGGGGATAACAGGTGCTACAGAGATTGAAAGCATCTCAGTTGGTATCTTATGGGTTTATGTCAGAATTTTTCTGGGGTCTTTCAGTTCCATCTGTCTCCCCCTACTCCCATGCCTTTAGTGAGTTCATTATATCATTCTTTTTGATATTTTATCAACCTCAAGAATAACTGTTTCCTTCTTTATTTCAGTCTGAAGAGACATGTGGCTGCTATTAACAGACTAGCTGATAAAGGCATGTTTTTTTGGGATTATGGCAATGCTTTTCTCTTGGAAGCTCAAAGGGCTGGTGAGTAGATTCTGGAGTTGTTAGGTGGAAACAAAGACAATCCTGCATGCATCTTCCCAGATGTATATTTCGCTAGGATAGGGTTGGCCACTGTGTTATGTTAACTCTTTAATCTCTCTCTTTCTCTCGTTCTCTGAGATCCCTGACCTTCTCTGTGGCTGAGATAAAGCCTTTGTGGGAACCCAGGTGCATTCTGGTTTTACATTCTATAGTTTTTCTTCATCAAGTCACTGACTATTAAAAATATTTTATAGGTGCTGATGTTGAGAAAAGAGGAGCCAATAAAACAGAATTTCGATATCCTTCCTACGTTCAGCACATCATGGGGTACGTTGAGGAGAGTTTGGAATAAAGCACTCAAGTACCTTGTGACTCCCTCTGTTTACAGGGAGAGAGTACTACAGAGATTCCATTTAGTGCCAATCTTGCAGTGTACTATAAATGATGAAAAGGAGTCGACCATAGCAGTAGGAAAATTGATCTCGCAGGTGTTATACCGGAGTTAGTCTTGTTTTTCTCCACTCTGGAATAATGCCCAGTGTGGTTTAGGAAGATGTCCTGTTAGCTGTAACCATCACAGTTATGTTTTCTATTGGCTTCCTTAGAGTTACTCCTTGCATTTTCCTGTGTACAAGGGAAAAGAAGAGCCAGACATGGAGGGACATATTTTATGTGATTAACATAAGTAAACTCTGGCAGCAGAGGTTTTGCTAATATTTTGTCCTGGAAGGCATGGCTTGTCTTGATAATTTGATGTAAAGCTTCATCCTTTTTAGAATTAAAAGGTTTTATGAAAGCAGACACCAGATGTGTGAATAGTAAGCTAAAGCATTGCCAAATCAAAACTCTTCACTCCTTTACATGAATAGCTGCATTTTCTCTTTTGTTGCATCAATTTTCCTTAAGCAGTTCTACTCAAGAGAATAGCCAAGTTACAGCCTCAAACTGTAGCTATATGCAATTTCACTTCTAGGTGCTAAAAATGAAGATCTTGTCTCTTTGGAGCAGTAGAGCTCAATTCCAAGTCATCAAAGCCTATGTCTACACTGAAGTTAAAAGCGCATCTGAAATAGGACACTCTGCTGCCCATATTGCCAACTGTACTTCTTATCCAAGCTGTGCATACTGCTTGTAGAAAAAGCCGAGCTCAGGAGATCTGTTGAGGGCATGGGTTTATAACACCTTTTGCCTCTGACTCATGCTTAGCTTGCCTATATCATGCGAATAAGAACTTGAACACAGAGCAAGGCACCAACCAGATTAGATCTCTTCTGCAACTCAACTGAAGTGGGTCTTACTATTGTGTGTAAACAATGTGGACAGCAAATGAGTCTGGACTCAGACACTTGTTCAGAACCTACACTTGTGTGATAGTGTAGATGCACTCAGAGTTAGCCTGGGTTAAGGACGAAAAGACCAGGCAGCAGGGAGGGTATATTTGATGAAACAAAAGAAATATCGCAATTCATCTGATGATGCACTTGTTTGAACTGCCCGACATTCCTATCAAATTTCTGGCCTGACTGTATTTTTATACACCAGTCAACGGCTGCATGAAACAGCACTGTTTAATTTCTCAATTAATGGTCCCTGATGCTTCTGTTTAGATTAGTTCATTGAAAATGTTTCAAATTCTTCCGTCTCCAGCTAATGAAAGAAAAGCACTGCTAGCAGCCAGGATAAATAAGGAAAGAATTTCAACTATCTCTTAATGAAACATGTTCTCTTCCCAGGGACATTTTTTCCCTGGGATTTGGTCCATTCCGCTGGGTTTGTACCTCAGGTGACCCACAGGATCTTGCTACCACTGACTCAATTGCCATGTCTGTGCTGGAAGACTCTATACGTCAGGGAGGTAAGACACCATCCCATGCCCCCATCACAGGGGGTGCTTTTGGGGAGAAAAGGAAACAGAGTTGTACAATGTGTGATAGCTTTTGGCTGAAACTGTAGAAAGCACTCTTTTGCCTGTTCCACGGGGGCAGGAAATCTCACTGTTCTCCAAACTCCTTCCTGTAAGGAGCGTAACCAGCAACTAAAATATAAAAACGCCATGTAGAGAGGTTATTGATCCCAAAGCTATAGTTGAAATTTTGGCTAAGAGCATTTATTTTCATTTGTTACAGATTTTCCTGCACTTTGTCACCTTGAAACTTTAAGGCAGACAGTGTCTTTCATCAATAGGTCTCCAGGAATTTTTTAAAGGAGTTCAATTGCTTTGCCCCTGTCTCACAGGTGAATGAGGCATGGGAATCTAGGGAGGTTCTTAAGAGGCTAGCAAGCAGATCGGTGGCAGGAAACCCAGGTTTCATGGGTGTGGTGCTCCATCCAGTGTCATTTATTTGTGATTACAATTTTGAGGTCTTTCTTTTTTGTCATTTGTTAATAAATTGACAGCCATTTCTACTCACTGGTGCAACCAATCTGGAATATCTGTATGGCTCTGTATGCTACATATGTATGTATCTAGGAATTACACTGTCTTTCACTCTTCCGTATTCCTGAAAGTGTGCTATTGCTGATATCCCCTGCTTATGAGTGGGAACTGAGACAAAGCTAATTTTGTGTCAGCAAATGTGAATCCTAATCTCCCAGGTTGCAGTGGAAGGCCCTACTACTTTCCTTTTCCTTCATCTGCTTTTACAGTAGCTGGACAGCAGACTCAAGTGTCATTATGCCCTAGCACTGAAGTCCTCAGCTTTCCGTTTCAAGAGAGTGGAGTTTTGTGCTTCTCAGAATCAAGAAAGGGATCAGAAGGAACAGATCACAAATACAAAGCATATTTTATGGGGAGGAGAGCGTAATATTTTTATCTGGTAATATTGAAATATTTGTTGCTTCTTTCATGAAAGACATTATTGAAATATGAATAGAAGTGTGAAGATTTTGAATGCTCTCCTATTTGTTCTGGAACAGTTGGCATTGTGAGGATCTAGGGTGGTATTTCTGAGAAGGTTATACAATGTTCAGATATGTCTCTGTTTGAAACAAAACTACTGTTGTCTTCCTATACTGTAATGCTGGTGTCCAGCTTCCTCTTCCTCCCAAGAGGTGAATTATTGATAGAGTGGGTCAGACCCTGCAAGGTCCTTAGCTCTGTCTGTTCTCTTAAACTTTCCTTAGGAGTCATCTTAAAGAAATAGCACTGGAGCATGAGATGTTTTTAATGCAACGGCCCAGAAGTGCCTCCCCTGTTCTATGGATATTGAAACTTTCATGTTTCCTGGTCCATAGGTTTAATTGAAGGGAGGGTGAAATCCAATACTATAGTGCTGGATCTATCTTCAAAAATTTGCAGTAATTTTTCTGCCATGTACTGCAATCTCCAGTCATCTTCTCTGAAGATTGAATTGATGCATGACCTTGGGATGATTTGCGTTGCAAGACTAGGAAATGAATCAGTTACTGTGTGTACAGTAGTATGTGGGTGTTTATATAGATGGTAATGTAAAGCTGTGGAGAGAAGTCTCTTCCACAGACAAAAAGCATTGAAGTCTTGCATGATATTCTTAATTTAAATGAAAAATAACATTAAAAAAATCCCAACAGGTGAAAACAGGCTTAAGAGCAAGGCTATTGAGTTTGGCAGGACAATGGGAATACGATTTCAAAGAGAAGTGAAAACAGAATTTGGCCAGAAAATAAAGTCATTCATGGATTCATGTTCTTGAGTATTCCACTTGCTGTCCACTCCCTATGGGACCTTGCTTGCATTGAATTCCAGGGTCTGGATATCCTCACACACATACACCTCTAAAATCTGAACCTACCTTTGAATTTTATAAAAGAATCTGTTACGATGGCTGAGTGAAAACTCCACAGAGCCGAAGTCTGTTGCATTCAAAGTCTAAACTTTTGACCTGGCCTTGAGTCCAATGTTAAACATTCTTCTCCTTTTGTGGAGTTGAATTTTTGCACTTAAACCTCACAAACTGTGGAAAAAATCCCATGTAGTTTTATTATCCGCTTCCACTCCTAAGGTACCTGGGCTTTTAATTTAGCCTTTTTACAAGAGATGCAGCACTGATGATTGGAGCGTAACTTGGATTTACGACCTCTGTGGTAGTTTGAAGGCTGAGCTGATGCATAACAACAATACAAATCTCCCAAGAGCCAAGGGAACCAATCTCTGTGTTGATGAGGACTGTTCCTCTGAGTACATAATACTTTCTAGTATCTTTTAAACCCTAAATAAGTACAAAAGACTATGAAATACCAGAAACAATACAGTAGCTTGCCTGACTTCAAAATGTATTCCTGTTGGGGTGGGGAGATGGGGGCATCAGTTTAGCAAATGAGACACACATGGAGCTAATCTAAAACTAAGGTCTTTCTAGAAAAAGCTGTAAGATTTTTCAATTGCAGGATGTAAAGCTAAATAAAAGGGAGGATTCTTCACTTCCCGAGGGATAACTGATGAAATCCAACTTTGGACACACCACAGTTTAGGACAGAGAATATGACTGTTCATTGGAGCTGGCTGGGAGGGACAGATATGTTGTGTTGACATATGTCCTTGTAGCCAGTATTCTCATCTGGCTTCTCCTCTGGATATGTTTTATACAATTAACAGACAGTAAGATCTTTTCTATAACTCTGTGCATGGTGAAGTATAAAATATGGTAAGTACTCTCTGAGATAGCTTATAAAAGTGATAGAAAGGAACTCATTCTCTATTTGGTTTTCAAGAGTAACTCCTGTAAACTCTTATAAAGTATCTATAATAACCTAAGGGAATACTACCCATTAACTTCTAGAAGATGTTTCCTTAAAGCTTATGAATGGCAGCACAATCCTCCTAGGACAGCACTAACAGATGTTTCACTTTCACTCCCTGTGAGGCTAAGAGCTGACATGTTAATCCTCATTGCAGAGTTTAGAAGCTATCATGTGGAGCCAGCCCCTAAAGCACTGACAGGTCTTTAGGATCATAAAACTCTCTGTATGTGGAAGGCCTGCCTCTGCAGGAATGAGCATATTTTACATTTCCCTTTAACAATGTGTTTAACATGGATTAGATATTTGTATCTTGCCTTTTCCTCTTTCCTTTTTCTAGTTTTACTATGCATATCTACTGACATATTGCCTAGTGGAAAGACAGTAGTCTTAAACACTCTTCTCAGTTACTAGGGACAATTTCAAGTTAGCAGTGTGTAGTTTCTCCAGTTTGACTGACTTTCAAACATAAGTTTCAGATTTAAGATTCACTTTAAGATTCAGCTGGACAGGGTGCTGGGCCATCTTGTCTAGACAGCGCTTTTGCCAGGAAAGGTTGGACCTTTGGACCTCAAGGTCCTTGAGGTCCCGTCCAATGTGGTATTCTATGATTTTTGTGATTCTGTGAAGTTATATGTACCTAATAATTTGACTTGAAAATGGGCAAGAGCTGGAAAGTGGTAGGGAACATGCTATCTTGGCATCTGCAGTAATTATTATAACTTGAAGCTCTAGTGCATGAGCAAGTCACTGTGGCTTAGCATGTTCCCACATGCCAGCTGAGCCCTGGTAGCTGTCCATGTCTCTCAGGACAAGGTAATATGATGTAGCTTAGCCCATAGAGAAAGAGCCTACAGGCAGTAACTTCTTCAGCCATTATAACCTCATCTGAGCTCACACTTGACCTCTGTGGAAAGGCGTAACTGTAAAAGCCCCCAGAATTAAGACAGTAAGACAACGCGTCTGTCCCATTCCATACTCCCTCTCCCTTTTGTTACTCACTTGCTACAGATGATGCCATGCCTGTGGAGGCAGCTGATTGTACTGAGGTCGCCATGTATCTGACTGATACATGCCATATTTCACCGTCTGTCACTTCAAATATCTTTATTCTTACTCCTCTTTGGTTTGGCTGATTGGGATCGAATGGCACAGATATAAATGAGAAGAGAAGCTGGAGAATACAAAACCATTCTATGTAATTCACTTCTCGGATAACAACATATATATCTAACCAAGATGTAGGGTGTCTTTACACATAAAGTGGCTACTCCATGATAAGTTTTTCTGTGCAGTTTGTGCTCCATAGTAATGTGAGGCAACATACCTCAATTTGTAGGGTAAGAGACCTCAGTTTTATCTTGGGATAAAAACATTCATGTGGGCCATTTAGTACAGGGCAACTGCTGCGCTATAAATCTATCCCAGCATTGGTGTAACTTATCCTCAAGCATGTATTGCCAGCTGCTTCTGAGAATTTCTGCTGGCTGACTCAAAGGAGTTATTTACTACCTGATGCAAGACTGGAATGTAGTACCCAATGTCATGGAGTTTGCTTAAGCTACTAATTTAGCAAAGTCTCAGAAAGGGATTGGGCATTTAGTAGGCAGCAAGCCAGGTGACCAAAAATGAACAGTACATGTAACCCATATTTCAAGGTTTAATTTAGTTTGCTAAAGAGCTGCATGGGAGTTATCATTCCAGCTGTCTCCTAGGTGACATCTCATACATTCCTCTAAATATATGGTACCAGTTACTGCATCCAATGCACAGAGGATTCTATATAGCATTTCCTATATGCGTGCTTGTATCTGAGAGCAGAATTTGACCTCCTAGTGCTGTCAGATGAATTAAATTAAATTTAGAGCATATTGCATTAATTTTCAAAACCTCTTTTATTTCTTGCTTTCTCTTGCAAGTGAGCACATCTGTGAAGCAGCAGTACCATGACAACATCCGCTGGATTCGGGAAGCTGGCAGGCACAGCTTGGTAAGTGCACAACCTCCTTCAGCACATGTGACCACTCCTGGTCCAGAATGCAGTTTTTGAATGCTGGAATGAAAAGCAGGAAT